CCGATGCGGGACTCGATCCAGGGACTCCAGGATCATGACCTGAGCCGAAGGCAGTCGCTTAACCAACTGAGCCACCCAGGCGCCCAATTTTTATAACATTTCTAAGAATGTGTCCTACAAAGCAGGTAAATGGAGGGTAGTCCATTCTTGAATTCATGCCCTGAATACGTAATTACTCCAGATTCCTTCAGACCTAACAGAGTCGGTCATGGACAAGTGATGCTTCATTCTATCTGCGAGTTATCAAAAGCTAAAATGCTCTTTATTCATGTTCGCAGTCATTTCTAGACTATCTGCCAGGCACAGACAGGTAAACAGTAAGTATATAACAGAGGTATATGTTCAAGGTACAGTAGAGAGTATTTTTGCCAGGTACAGGAGGTGATAGAGATTTTGGGGTATCTCAAGGGATCCCTGAGGAGATTTTAAAGGATAAATAAGTGTTTGTATTTGGACAAAGAAGCTTCAAATAGCTCGGTATCATTTGGACATAAGGTGTATGTAGAAGATGAGATAGCAGGAAATCAAATTACTCTGATAGGTCCATGATGAAAGAAGATATATGTCATGCTAAAGAGCTTAGAGTTTGACCCATCAACAGTTTTCATGGCAATTAAGCAATATGACAGTGAATATAGAGGATGTTGGTTTGGAGAATAACAAGACTGGTGTGAGAGACAAAGGAGAAGTATCTTGCATTAGTAGAGCAGAAAATGAAAGGCCTAAAACAGATAGTGGCAATGGGAAGGAAAGTAAGAGGACAGATTCAGGGAGAGTGAAATGTAGATAGACAGGCCTTTAGGAACAGTGAAGAGCAGGGGAATTTTTGTGGTTTCTGGCTTTGTTAGTTTATTTGGGGATGTATCATAGGAGACAGAAATAGGTTGAATTTTAACTCTCTATAGAGCATACACATGTGCATGCCTATTTAAGTCTAAAACTTGGTATGTTTTAGACTTAAAACTTGGTATGGACTGTCAGGGCCACAGATGAGGGTTTAGATATAATCATCATCTGGAATGTGAGCTAGTATGAAGGTTGGGACCAGATCTTACTTGTTACTTACTATACCTTCTGCATCTAGCACATAGGAAGACTCAGTACATTTTTGCTAAGTAGTTAAAACATTGGAATTTGAGGAAATTGCTTTAGAGTAAGGGCTGAAGATGGAAGAACTAACCCCAGTGGAAATTTGAATAGGTTTGTAGGCCTCGAGAAGGAGGAGTGATAATTAGGAGAGCTGGGCTAATCCCCCTTAGTAGGCAAATGGTAACTGAGGAGAGCTTCAACCACAGTGGGAGTATGAGTCCTAGGTAGGGTATATGGAGCCAAATATAGAAGCAGATCATAGCCAACTAGACAGTGTGAGATGGAGTCTAATCCAAAGGAGGAGAGCTAAGCAAAGAGGAAATGCCAGTATGAAACCACTGGGACAGAGTTTGAAGGGGTGTCTTTGTGGACAGTGGTTCAGAGTGGAAATGGGGAGTCAAACCTTCAGCACAATCTGAGAGGTTGGTTAATTCAGTTTCTTCCACATAAGGTGTAGGTATCCTGAGGATTCTTAAAGAGGCAGCTTTGGAGCAAACAGAGGTAGGAATCAAGAGCAAAGAAGGAGGGAAGTCTCTTCAGGAATGAAGTAAGAATGAATGAAGGTATAGATATTTACAGATAGGAGTAATAAAGTAGGTGGGGATGACTTTCCTTCTGTGTTTTAGGCAAGACAAGGATGAGGTTAGGTTATTCTAATGCAAAAAAATGTTTACTTTGTCTTCTAGGCTTGTGAGAAGGTTGGCATGCAGATCCCTCGATTCTGTTATCATGAAAGATTGTCTGTTGCTGGAAACTGCAGGATGTGCCTGGTTGAAATTGAGAAAGCTCCTAAGGTACTTGATACCTAAAATTCCACACCATGCTGTAGAAGGTAGAAAACTTTAAATCTTGCAGCAAACTTTATTTAGAATCGTTGTAGTGGAGAAACCTAGCCCTGTTTAATTGTATCTGGAAATTTATTCTTTTGTGTGCAGTTAAATCTGTTCATTTCAAAACTGGAAATGCAGTGATGAAAGTGCTTTATAAATGCAAGCACTATATAACTGTAACAGATTTAGAAAGTAAAATACCTGCCAGTATTTCCACATGGCTATATGACACAGCTAGGATGTGGAATTGCGAAGCAGCACGTTGAAAGCACTTCTGCTGTTCCATTTTCAGTAGAGAAAGGGATTGCAATGAAAAGGTTCACTTTCAGTTTAATTTCATTTTGTCTCATACAGTTTTAATTCAGTAGCACCTGCTAATCAAAACATAGTTATTTGATGTTCTGTTTCAGAGTCTCTTTATAAAGTAGCTTTAACTATGAGAATAGAATTTAAAAGCATGATGTCTTATTTTTTTCTAAGAGAAATATAAAGTGTCAGGTTATCATATTGTGAATATGAAAACTGAAAAATTGAGCCTTCAAAAATACTGTTTTGTTTCTTTGTAGATGTATGACTTAATGTTTTTATATGTTGGGTTGCTTATAATTACAAGCAAATATAAGTACTTAAAAGATTTTTCCATTGAAATTCCAGGTTGTAGCTGCTTGTGCCATGCCAGTAATGAAAGGTTGGAATATCCTGACAAACTCAGAGAAATCTAAGAAAGCCAGGTACTTTAATGCTACTTAACATAGTAACTTTTCTTAGAGGAGAAAATTGCTCATTTCAGTATTTAGACCTCTCATAGATGAGAAATTCAATAGCAAACTCTGAAAAAGTTGACATGTTCAGCTCATAGGAGCAGTGGAAATAAGTACACATTGAGGAGGTGAAGTCAGGTGTTTATGGTTTTGAGCCTAGAATGGAATTAGCACTAAAAGCTCTTCTTTAACAACTTGTTAAACTTGTGATGAATAGTGAATCTGGGGCTTATTGAACTGAGATTATTTCAGTAACATATTACACTGTTACTTGTTTTTGCTATGCATTTATATGTTTGTTTTTGTTTTGAGTTAATGTGAATGTTTTCTGAAGACCATTTACCAATTTTCAGTAATTTTATATTGTTAAAAGTCATAATTTTCTAGGTTCTATACTGATATTTTATTCCTAGACTTATAAAACATTTTTTTAGATAGTGTGTCTAATACCAGAATAATGGTTGCATTGGCATTTCTGATAATAAATGTAAAATTAATACTCTAAGAAAGGATACATCTCTGAAGGTTATTTAGATAGCCTATATCCAAACCATTTTGAGTGCCAAAAATTTATATCATTTTATATATTAAAATTTTCCATACAGAGAAGGTGTGATGGAGTTCTTGTTAGCAAATCACCCACTGGACTGTCCTATTTGTGACCAGGGAGGTGAATGTGATCTGCAGGTATGTCATCTAACTTCATAAATCTTTTTTGGTTGTCTTAAGTTTTAATTTCACTAGCATCATTAGATTAACTCTCCTAATCTACTTAAGGACCAGTCCATGATGTTCGGAAGTGATAGGAGCCGATTTTTAGAGGGGAAACGTGCTGTGGAGGACAAGAATATTGGGCCATTGGTAAAGACCATCATGACTAGATGTATACAATGTACTCGCTGCATCAGGTAATGTTTTTTCTTATGTCTTCTGGAATATCATTCACATACCTAGTTAATACTCACAAATTTGGTGAAATAACAACACTAGAAAAAATGGCAACTTTTTTTTGGTTGTAGAAGAGGGATGTTTTTAATGTTTTCTGCATAAGCCAATGAAATGAATTGTTCACTTTCAGTGAATATCAACTTCTGTTGAATTTACAAATCAAAATCTACAAGCATTAACTCTGTGATAACTTGTTGAGCTATACATGATTTGTGCAATTTTCTATATGTGTGTTATACTGCAGTTAACTTATAAGCAAACGTTTATTGAACTCTTTTATTCAAGGACTATGCTCACCATTGAAAATATACTCATCTTTTTAGTGTTTTGAAAATCATTATCTCTTTGTGATCATAGTTAGAAAAGGAGATAATTTTGCTGGATTTGACCATTTGACAGTACATTTTTATCTTGCAGGTTTGCAAGTGAGATTGCAGGAGTAGATGATTTGGGAACAACAGGCAGAGGAAATGATATGCAAGTTGGCACGTACATTGAAAAGATGTTCATGTCTGAACTGTCTGGAAATGTCATTGATATCTGCCCTGTAGGTGCCCTGACCTCTAAGCCCTATGCTTTTACTGCCCGCCCTTGGGAAACAAGGTATTCATTGTTGTATTTTTTGACAATTTGTTTTTTGTCCTTTAGTTGGCTACTGTTCAAAAAAATTTAAGATTCATGTTCTTCCTGTATTCTAATTGTTTTGGTCTGCTAAGTTTTTATGTATTTGCTTTAAGTAAAACCCTCTTACTGGAAGGTAAGAGGATAGATTAAAGGATAGGATGAACCTGTGGAAATTAAGTACAGTTTTCTTGGAGATTAATTCCAAAGTACTTAACCACATAATTATTTTATTCACTCGTTCTTCCAAAGAGTAAAATTGTCTTGATTTTTTAAGATTTATAGTCTCCTTTCATTGTACATTAAGTTTTCAACCATGTGGCTAGATCGTATTTTATTTAGTCAGCTCCTATTATTAGACATTTAGTTTGTTTCTCTGTAGTGGTAAATCTATGATAAAAATTGTTATTGGGGTGCCTGGGTGGCTCAGTCACTTAAGTGTCCAACTTTTAGTTTTGGCTTAGATCATGATCTCAGAGTCGTGAGATCAAGCCCCACCTACAGCTCTGTGCTCAGGGCAGAGTCTGCTTCAGATTCTCCAACCACCCCCCCCAGCTTATGCTTTCTCTCTCTCTCTCTCCCCATCTCTCAAGTGAATGAATAATAAAATCTTCTTTTAAAAATTGTTATTCATAGATTTTCTTGTATATCTCTGATTCTTTTTACTAAACCAGGAAATAGAGTAAGTAGTTGCAGTAAGTTTGAATTTTTTTTTTTTAAAGATTTTATTTTATTTATTTGACAGAGAGAGATTATGCGAGAGAGGGAACACAAGCAGGGGAAGTGGGAGAGGGAGAAGCAGGCCTCCCGCCGAACAGGGAGCCCAATGCGGGACTCTGTCCCAGGACCCTGGGATCATGACCTGAGCCGAAGGCAGACGCTTAATGACTGAGCCACCCAGGCGCCCCTGAATATTTTTAAGGGTCTAGAAACATATCATTAAATTGCCCTCCATTTTTAAACTTCCACTAGAGTATATGGGAGTATCTTACAATTCTAGGCTTTAAACCACATATTTATGTATATAAAAGGATTAGGGGGATAGGGCACAGTACATAGCTGAGATGTAAGTAGAGATTTTTCTCTTTTTCTTCTGAGACTCCCATAATGCGAGCAGAAAAGAAGCTTCCATCTCCACAGCCTACCTCAGCCTGGCAGAATCTGTTCAAGGTGGTAGGGAAGGAGATGAGAACAGGCCCCAAGCCACACCACCACTGATTTCCAGCCTTCTTACTTGAACTTCAGTAGTTTTTCCCTGCATAAAAGCTTCTCATGATAGTGTATGCCTTTGGTAGATTTCCAAAGTGGTTGTTTTTGTTAATTTTGTCTAGCTTTATTTTTGCTTTTTGTGGGGAGGATTTGTCAGGCTTTTATAATCACCCATACCCAGAAATCTTACCCTCTTGCTATTTATTTTGATAATCATATTTCCCAGATTTGGCCATTTGGAACCCTTACCATTAGCTTTTGTATTAGGTAATAATCTCTAAAGCTTTTTTTTTTTTTTTAAGATTTTATTTATTTACTTGAGAGAGCATGTGAGCTCATGCATGTGTGATTGCAGGGAGGAGCAGAGGGAGAGCAGACTCTGCACACTACACAGGGCTCAATCTCACTACCTTGAGATCATGACCTGAGCCGAAATCAGCAGACACCCAACCAACCGACTGAGCCACCCAGGCGCCCCTAAAGCTTTATTTTTACAGTAGAAATTTGTGTGAAGTAGTCAAATATGAGGGTAATTTTTTTTATTGCAATTTCTCTGGTTCCCATTATTTTTAGAAATTCAGAAAGGCAAGTCATTGTAAAATTTTTTTGTTTTGGATAAATCAGGTAACAGAAACTTTGTCCTTATTGCCAAACTCAGCATAGTAAATATATGTGTTTATTTTCTTAGAAAGACAGAATCCATTGATGTCATGGATGCGGTTGGAAGTAATATTGTGGTAAGCACAAGAACAGGAGAGGTGATGAGGATTTTACCAAGGATGCATGAGGACATCAATGAAGAGTGGATCTCTGATAAAACCAGGTATATGCTGCATCGTTTTCCTCAATTTTTGCAATTGATTTGAAGTACATTTTATGGTAATTTTAATTTTAAAACACCATTTTTATACTTGCAAATTAGTTAATAAATAGAGACTATTGAAAATCTAGACTTTATCTGGAGAATTGGACAAAATTAACAATAGTCTAGGCATATCATTGGCTTTCATATAAACTTTGACAAATATCCATCCTACAATTTTGAAGTGGATTAAGATATTTAATCTATTTCAGTTTGTTCATTAGAGAAAAGCTAAATGTAACTTAGAGCTTGTACATCATAATTTTGATAAAATATCTAAAAGTATTCAAGTTTTATAAATAAAAATGATTTTCCTTCTTCAGCTATCAGATATTTTTGTGTTGTAATTTTAAGATTATTCAGGTAGCTGAAAACAAATTATAAAAACTCAAACTTTTTAGATAATGTTTTAGTTTTGGATGATGTGCATAAAATATTTATTCATCTTTCAAAAAACCTGGAATAATTATTTGTATCCAAGAATTTATCAGTCTATTTGACACTTTAACTCATACTATATTTAAATAACATTTTTTTTAGATGTTAAACTTGAAAACTATAGTTGCCTCTCAAGCAGGATTCCACAAATGGTATAATTTCTTTTATCTAGATTTGCCTATGATGGGCTAAAACGTCAAAGACTTACCGAGCCGATGGTCAGAAATGAAAAGGGGCTTTTAACCTATACCTCCTGGGAGGATGCACTCTCTCGTGTAGCTGGAATGGTAAAAAATTGAAATATAGAATAAATAGTATTTGTGATTTTCAAGGAACATCTTTGTAGCAGAGTGTGGGATGTGTGTCTCTTCTCTTCTTTCCTCTTATCAGGATTGCCTTCCATTTAACATTTATTAAGAACCATATGCCAGATATCATGCATGAAGTAGCGATGTAGAGACCACTAACACAGGGTACCTACTTCCCACAATCTTGTAGTAGTTATGGTAAGACCTATAGTGAGTCAGGTATCATGTGCTTGGGTAGTTGTGCAAGAAATGATGTATGAGAGAGAACCTGGGAGGAGTGCCTCACCAGGCTAGCATATCAAGGATCCCTTCCTACATAAGGTGAATTAGGCAAAGTCTAAGAATGAATGCAAACTTGCCAGAGCAAAAATGGAGGGAGTGGCTTTCTAGTCAGAGAAAGGCAATGTACATAAAGGGCTTGAGGGAATGGTAGATACTTCTGAAGAAGTCTTCATCCTCCAAACCTCATCATGAGGCCCCTTTGTTTCTAATTTAAAACAAATACCTTCCCTCCAAGCTGGTGGTATTACTAACCTTGGCCTCACATACACCTTGCTTCTCACTTTTAGATTAATAATTAGTGTAAGCCTTTTTAGTCAAAAGTTTGTTGCTTTTTTTATACTTTAAAATGACTATTGTTGGGACACCTGAGTGGCTCAGTCGGTTAAGCGGCTGCCTTCAGCCAGGGTCATGATCCCAGGGTCCTGGGATCGAGTCCCACATCGGGCTCCTTGCTCAGCAGGGAGCCTGCTTCCCTCTCTCTCTCCTTCTGCTTGTGCTCTCTCTGTCAAATAAATAATATCTTTAAAAAAAAAAAAATGACTTGTTTTGTTTTCTGAGCAGTGGTCTTTGCTGAATGGAGGTTTTTTGGTGATGCCCTTTTTATCCATTTCTAGTTGCAGAGTTTTCAAGGCAATGATGTGGCAGCAATTGCAGGTGGCTTGGTGGATGCCGAAGCCCTAATAGCTCTCAAAGATTTGCTTAATAGAGTGGACTCTGACACCTTGTGCACGGAAGAGGTCTTCCCCACTACAGGAGCTGGGTGAGAACTACGAAACTAGCATCTAGGCCTGCTTTGTTGTTGTTTTTGTACAAGTTGTGTATAAATCAATACATCTGGTGCACCTGGCTGGCTCCAGGTAACTTTGGTATTGGTAGAGTGGGTAACTTAATCTCGGGGTCCTAAGTTCAATCCCACATTGGTGGTAGAGTTTACTTAAATAAATAAATAAGTACATCTGTGGCATCAATAAGTGATACGTGACAGCTTGAATTCTCCATCATACCCACCAGTTTCTTTTCATTTAGAGACCAAAGTCAAGCCAGGAACTGTTGGAGAATCCCAGTTATTAAAAAGTATCTGAATGGCGCCTGGGTGGCTCAGTTTGTTAAGCATCCAACTCTTGATTTCGGCTGAGGTCATGATCTCAGGGTCCTGGGATCAAGCCCCGAGCAGGCTCCCCACTCAGCGGGGGATCTGCTTGTCTCCCTCTCTCTCTCTGCCCCTCCCCCTGCTTGCATGCGCACTGTGTCTCTCTCACGTAAATAAATCTTAAAAAAAAATCTGAAACTTTGATGTAATTTAGAAATACTTCATAAGAATTTTTTGGAAATAACCATGGGCTTGTTGACATGAGAATATTGCATGGATTATCATTGTGTATTAGTTTTGAAGTAAACCTGCATTTTTTATTTTGTATTTCTAGCACAGATTTGCGTTCCAGTTATCTTCTTAATACTACAATTGCTGGTGTGGAAGAGGCAGATGTTGTCCTTCTGGTTGGTACAAATCCACGTTTTGAGGCACCACTATTTAATGCTAGAATTCGAAAGAGGTTAGTAGTAATATTGAGGGTTTTAAAAATGTTTATATAATAAGTTATTTTACATCTGCAAAATGACTGTTTTAGTTAATTCCTAATAGTGTTAGTGGGAATGAGACTCAAAAGGTAATTGGAGTGCAGCTTCTAAAAGGTCCATTCCCTCCCTCTCCCCCTGCTAGTCTTTATACTTTGTCCTCTTATTTTGACATAATTCACGATGCACCAGTTTTTCCATGATTTCTTTTATAATGATTTTTTTATAATGATTTTTTTTCCTGCTCAGGATTCAGTCTCAAGTCACACATTGCAGTTAGTGTCATGACTCTTCAGTTTTCTTTTTTGACGTTTTTTTGAAGAGCACAGGCAGTTACTTTGTAGAATACCTCCATCTTTTCATATCTTCGAGACTTATGAATAGGTTGGTATAATTTATTGTCTATACTGTGACATTGTTGAGAGTGAAAGGGGGAATTGTTAATGCTGCAGGATACAGATGAAAACCACTGTCTCAGACAAACAGAATATATGGTCACCACGCTTATAGTTTTAGAAGAGCTGGATCCATACTTCCCTGTCAAAGAGAATAAAGTGATGTAGTTTATTTTCATTAACTATATTTAAATCACCTTAATGGATAATTAGGAGATAATTGACTCTGCTGTGTAAATATGGTGAAATAAAAATTATACATCATTTATTCTAAAATTAAAGTTTTTATAGCTTGCTTAGGGTTTGCATTCTTCACAGGAAATTAATTCACTGACTTACCTTGGTGTGCATTTTTACAACACTGTTATTTTGAAAGGTACACAATAAATTATATCTGTTAAGGCCACATGTTCTGTGACTGCTTTGTGCTTTTAACATTTGTAACATAAGTAGATGTAGCCCCTAGCATTGATGAGACTGGTGACTATGCTAATTTAGTAATTTAGCTCTAAAAACTTTGTCGTTTTTATTTCAGCTGGCTTCACAATGACTTAAAAGTGGCCCTTATTGGCAGCCCAGTGGATCTCACTTATAGATATGACCATCTGGGAGATTCTCCCAAAATTCTTCAAGACATTGCTTTCGGTAGCCATCCATTCAGCCAGGTGCTCTCAAGTTATACATATCTACTTTTGTTGATTTTTAAGTATTATTATTTTTAAGAGTTATTTATTTTTGTCATAATGATACGTGTTTACTATTAAAAATTATAGCAATATAGAAAAGAAAAATGGAAAAAAATAAAACATTACCCCAGGTTCCACCAACCCAAACAAGAATTTTTTATTTTTTTAAAGATTTTATTTATTTATTTGACAGAGAGAGAGTGTGCGCACAAGCAGGGGGAGTGGCCAGCAGAGAGAGGGAGAAGCAGGCTCCCTGCAGAGCATGGAGCTCGATGCAGGGCTGGATCCTAGGACCCTGGGATCGTGACCTGAGCCAAAGGCAGACGCTTAACCAACTGAGCCACCCAGGCACCCCCAAACAAATATTGATGAAACATAATCATTTCTCTATTCATATATAGAGCAAGATGGATGAACAGATAAGCAGACAAAAATGAGCTTATATTATATGTGTTATTTTATATACCAGAGCTTAATTTTACTTGAAATTATCAGAAAAGAAATTGACGTAAGGGGTGCCTGGGTGGCTTAATCCGTTAAGTGTCTGACTCTTGATCTCAGCTCAAGTCATGATTGCAGGTTCATGAGTTCAAGCCTCTCCAAGTTGAAGTGCAACTGAAGCAATTAAACTTTGAAGTTAAGGGAAATCTTTCTTTACTGCAAGAGTTATTCTTAAATTTCATGAGTCCTTTTAATGACTTTTTCATTACTGAGTACTTTATTTACATTCATTTCATTACTTTCTAGTATTAATAGGTTTTTTACTTACTTTTCCAAGAGGGGCTCATAAGTACCCTATTCGTTGGGTTCTTGCTTGCTTGCGAATGTCTGTTTTATTACTGAAGAGAGCCTTGGCAGAATACAGAGTTCTAGGATCACACTTTTTTCCTCTCTGAACTTTATATAGACACTGCCTTTTGTTACTGTGGAGAAGCCTGATGTCAGTCATATTTCCTCCCAACCCTGTCCTAATTTTTTTTTTTTACTGTCTAGATACTTTTTTTGAACCTTTATAGTGGGTTCTTTATCTTTGAAATTTAATAACTTCAGAATTAACAGTGGTGGTTCTCTTCACTTTTTTATGGGACATGGAGCACCTTTCATTGTGAAAGTTCAAGGCTCTTTTTATTTTAGTATTTGTGCATGTGTGGTGGAATGCTGATTATTAAAAAATGTAAGAGGTTTCTGTTTTCACATAACAGTTTTGGAGGGTAGGCAGTTGGACAGATGTCCAAGGATGTCATCAAGGAAGGACATTCCTTCCTGCTTTACTACCTCAGTGCCTTTGCTTATTCATGTGTGTTTGAGTGAACTTCTTCTCATGGTTCCAAGATGGTGTAGCCTTAGGTGTAATCAAGTGGTACAAAGCGGCTAAGCGCAATTCCTTTGTTTTGAATAGGAAAAACATTATCATGATTGCAGTGATCAAAAATGCAAAAGAAATACATATTGGAAAGTATTCCTCTTTTCTAATTCCCATCTCCATGCCCCAGAAAATGATCAGTGTTTTTCAGAAGTTTTTTTCTATACTAGATTTAAATATATTTTCTGTTAGTGGTGTTCCCTTCATTAAGAACTCCTAACAAGGGGCACCTAGGTGGCCCGTCAGTTAAGTGCCTTTGGCTCAGGTCATGATCCTAGAGTCTTGGGATTGAGCCCTGCATCGGGCTCACTGCTCCCCACGCTTGTGCTCTCTCTCTCTGACAAATAAATAAATAAAATCTTTTTAAAAAAACAAAAAGAACTCCTAACAACAACAAAAAAAACAAAAAAAACCCTAACAGATAGTGGTTCCCCTTTTGTATCTTTTCTGTCATTTTTCCTTTGTTCTTTTGTTCTTTTTCAGTTTGTTTTATATTATTTCCTGTAGCCTGCTTTTCTTGTCCCTGCATTTAAGGTCATGTTTTATTTTGTTTTTTATTGTTTCTGGAATGGTGTTCATTTCTAATTTGTTTCTCTTCCAGTTCTTTCCTGAGTTCTGTGACGAAAAGCTCCTTCTACTGTATAATACTCTCTGTTGTGTCACTTTTTTATGCTTTTTTTTTTCATGTGAGAAACAGTGTGTTTTTTATTTTCTGTAAGTCTATTGAAAACTATTTTTCTGGGGCACCTGGGTGGCTCAGTCTGTTAAGCGTCTGCCTTTGGCTGAGGTCATGATCTTGGGGTCCTGGGATTGAGCCCAGTATTGGGCTCCCTGCTCAGCAGGGAGCCTGCTTCTCCCTCTCCTGCTCCCCCTGCTTGTGCTCTCTCTCTCAAATAAGTAAATAAAATGTTTTATAAAAAAAAGAACTATTTTTCTGAACTCTTCACATATTTTTGGGAAATTCCCAAGGAGGACATTTATTCTCCTCTGTAGTATGGAGGCATAATTCTCATGCTGATTCTTTGATTTGGGCCATTTATTTATTTACTTATTTATTTTTAAAGATTTTGTTTATTTGACAGAGAGAGAAACAGCGAGAGAGGGAACATAAGCAGGGGGAGTGGGAGAGGAGAAGCAGGCTTCCTGCTGAGCAGGGAGCCCCATGTGGGGCTCAATCCCAGGACCCTGGGATGACCTGAGCTGAAGGCAGACACTTAATGACTGAGCCACCCAGGGGCCCCTGGGCCAGTTATTTATTGAAGAATAATAAAGAGGGTGGTTAGGAGAGTGAGCTCTATACTCTTCTGCTTTACTTTTAATTTTTCCATCCTCCACTGAATCTGTAGTTTCCTTTGCTTTTGGGATGCACTCCCCTCCGGTTTTGGCATTCAGGAAGTTACTATGATTTAAAGCAGAGCCCTTAAAGTTTTAGGTATTCTGCATTGTAATCCTAGTGTTCATTGTTTTCCCTACCTCTTTGTTCTTGTCTAGAGCATGGTGAGTAGATAGAAGACTGTAGACATGATACTTGAATGTGGCTTTTTCTGTAGTACCAACTGAATGTCTGTAGTGACATTGCCCAATTTTTCTGGAACATACCCATAATCATTCTGACCAAAGGATATTTGGAAAAGGCTTTCATTCCCAGTACTTCTAGAAAATCTGTTTGGGTTTTTTTAATATTTTATTTATTTATTTGAGAGAGACAGAGATAGAGCTCGAGCAGGAAGGACGGGGAGAAGCAGGCTTCCCGCGGAGCAGGGAACCCGATGTGGGACTCGATCCCAGGACCCCGGGATCATGACCTGAGCCGAAGGCAGAGGCTTAACCATCTGAGCCACCCAGGCACCCCTCTAGAAAATCTGTTTTATCTGATAACTCATTTAGCCATTTCATAGTAGCATTGGTGAGGTGTTTTTGGTTAAATCTGGTTGTATATATGTCTATATGTTGACTCTTAAAAATCAGAGACATTCTGCATTAAACCTAAAACTTGGGACAACGTATTGTAGATGCAAATTAAAAAAAATTTTTTAATCAAAGTTCTTTTTTTTTAAATAGGTATTACATGAAGCTAAAAAACCAATGGTGGTTGTAGGCAGTTCTGCACTCCAGAGAAGTGATGGGGCAGCAATTCTTGAAGCTATTTCCAACATTGCTCAAAAGATTCAGATGAGTAGTGGTGTTACTGGTGATTGGAAAGTTATGAATATCCTTCATAGGTATGTTGGGTGATTGTTCTATTATATACTGTAAGATTCAAGTAATTTTGTGTACATGTGTTACTGTTGTACTATCACATTTAGATTTACTAATAGCTTAATATTTAGCAATGTCTCAGTAGTAGATGTGAAAGAGATACCTTTATTTTCTGTGTGAGAACCGAAGGTAATAAATAATATTTAAAATATTTGAGGGGCGCCTGGGTGGCTCAGTTGGTTAAGTGTCTGCCGTTGGCTTAGGTCGTGATCCCGGGGTCCTGGGATCGAGCCCCATGTAGGGCTCCCTGCTCAGCAGGGAATCTGCTTCTTCCTCTGCCCCTTCCCCTGCTTGTGTTCTCTCTGTCTCTCAAATAAATAAATAAAATCTTAAAAAAAAAATATTTGAAATAGCAGTGCTGAGAAAATCTTGAAAATCTGTATTATATTAGTATACTTTGGTTCAAAAATTGCAACAAGCCCTCTGACTTTGATTAAATGATAAAAATGTAAGCTAACTGGGCACCTGGGTGGCTCAGTTGGTTAGGCGACTGCCTTCGGCTCAGGTCATGATCCTGGAGTCCCGGGATCGGGTCCCACATCAGGCTCCCTGCTCAGCAGGGAGTCTGCTTCTCCCTCTGACCCTCCTCCCTCTCATGCTCTCTGTCTCTCATTCTCTCTCT